GAGGGCCAGGGCCAGGGCCAGGGCGAGGCGGAGGCTCTCACCGCGGGACTCCGGTCCTCAGCCAGGCTTCAGCTCCTAACCCTGCCGCCCAGGCCTCCTGACTGCCCCTTCCCAGCCTCCTCCCGGGCTCACACATGTATCGAGGGTCGATCTGTTCACTCGCCCTCACAAGGGGAGCAGTTGAGGCCTTGTTCATATGACAGTTGACATGAGTCAGAGCCACCTTCAGAAGCACAGTCCCCAGACAACGGACCGGGTGCTAGCCTCAAGGACTCCCCGTGGGTGCGCACCCACTGGGGGAGCTTGCCTTGGTTCCAGCCTAGAAATCTCTGAAGGTCTGACGCATCCCATGGGTCTGACAATAGCCCAGCAATACAGACGGTCATAGTGGCTTCTGGCGAATGTGACCCCTGTTCCGGGTCACGATTGGGTTAGGGAGGGCCAACCAGGTTGGGCAATAACATAAGCCCCCAGCAGCACGGCTCGGGTTTGCCGTCAGCGGGGAAGGATGAGGTGCGGCTCACTGTGGATTTTTCCAGTGAGTCGAGTCTCAGAGCCAGTCTTTTTTTTTTTTTTTTTAATTTTAACTAGTTTGCACGGAGGAGGCCTTTCTAAAATGGATTTCACACGTCTCTGACTTCTCAAACTGAGGCTACAGAACATAATTAAACTTATCTTGGAGAATCGGGCCCATCATCTGGAATCTGTTATTAATCTCTGGAGCCAGACAGTCTTGTTCCAATCCCAGCCTCTCTTCTCCCTCTCTGTGCGGCTTCCTGCCTCAGTTCCCCCACCTTTGAAATGGGAATAGTCCTAGTGGGTTTGGCTCAATGGATAGGGCATCGGCCTTCAGACCTAAGGATCCCAGGTTCAATTCTGGTCGAGGGCATGTACCTCATACCTCGGTGACAGGCTCCTCCCGCGCCCAGGCCCTGGTCACAGGCTGGGTGCATGAAGGAGGCAACCAATGGATGTGTTTCTCTCACATCCAAGTTTCTCTCTGTCTTTCCCTCTCTCTTCCACCCTCTCTAAAAACCAATGGAAAAATATCCTTGGGTAAGGATTAAACAAATAAAAAAGAACTGGGAGTAATAACTACACCTACCTCATGGGGCTGTGGAGAGGATGGGATGAGCTAATAGGTGTAAAAGTAGTGCCCGGCAGATAGGAGTTAGGACTGTACCACCTGGCCATTCCCAGGGGAACGACAGTGGACATGGGCAGCTTTGTGTGGCTCGGCCCGGTGCAAAGTGGCACTCAGGGGCTGGCTCCTGTTCCTACAGATGCTCTGTGCTGGGCACGGTGCTCTGGCACTTGGCGTATGCCCTCTCCTTTATTCTCCACAGGCTCACAGGGGCGTTAGGACTCCACTAGTCAGAGGAGAACATCATGACTTAGGCTGAGGTGCTGGCCCGAGCTGCTCAGCTGGTAGGTGCCGCGCTGGGGTCCCAGCAGGAGGCCTTGGCCCCTTTGTACCGTCCTCTCTGTCGGGTGCCGGGCGGGGCCAGTGGCCTCCCAGGGAGCACTGAGTGGTCCTGGGGCCTCGTACTAAGTCCTGCGTTCATTTTTCTTGAATACTCTACCCCCTTCCTGAGCTGGCAGGCCCCGAGTGTTCTCCTAGGAAGCACAGTAAGAGCACTTGCCCCTGGATTTTGTGGCACCAGCTGCAGTTGTTTCAGATGCTGTGTATGTATGTATGTGACCGAGTGGGTCGTGGTGTGTGTTTCGCCGATGTGCGTTCAGGTGTCGCACAGGTGACCTCCAGATGGGTGGGTCGCATCTGGACACACAGAGCTGTGGCGTGGGGAGGTTGGAGGAGCCTGGGGTTTCACATCTGTCCCCTGAGTGCTGGCCCTCCCAGCTGCAACCCTCCCAGGTGCCGCCCTCCCCCCTGCTGCGTGTCCCAGTGCGCCCCCCATGACATCAGCACTGACACTACACCTCCCGGCTTGAAGAGACAGTGGCAGGCATCCTGTTGAGCACGCCACTTTACAGATGAGGAAACTGAGGCCCAGAGAGCTGGAGGGATTGCGGGGACCAACTGGAACGCAGAGCCCTGGTTCCCTGTGGGACTGTCCCCCTCCCCCCCCAGCAGGGGCTGGTCTCTGATGCCACCGCGGGGTGTCTCCGAGGGGAGGAGCCAGGGCCGGGTGGCCTGTGCAGGCACACAGGGCCTGTGCTTGGTCTCATGCTCTGTGGTCACTGTCCTGAAATCTCTTAATACTTCTTGAACAAAGGACCCCACAATGTCTCTTTCCACTGGGCCGCATAGTTTATCCACTTGGTGCAGCCCAGGGCCCAGGGCTCCTTCCAGTGAGGGATGGAGCTGAAGCAGGCAGCCTGGCTGCAGCGACCATGTGCCTACCTTCATTCCCTACCCAGCCCAACCTTGACCGTATCCTTCAAGCTGTGGAGGCTGCACGGAGCTCCCTGGGAGGCATGACCAGGCCGCCTCTGCCCTGCAGGGTGGGAGTGGAGCCTCCTCCCGGGGACAGGCAGGGCCTGCTGGGATGGGCTTAGGGAGCGGGATCTCTAGGAGGGTGAGGGGCAAGTCCTGAAGTCGGCCGGCCGCCTGGGGTACCCTGAGTGGCCTTGGGCATTTGACAGCCCGAAAAGCCTGTTTCTCATCAGTAGGAGAGCAGAGGAGTTCTCGGGGCAGTTATGAGGACTTGGTGGGTAACGTGCCGCAGTAACATACGAAGAATGATGTCCTTGTTAGCGCTGCGCCGGTAAGTGCTCCGTGAGGCAGCCACCCTCCTGCCCCAGGGCCAAGCCCAGGCTTCTTGGGGGGCTCTGGGACTCCTAGGCTTCTAGGTCTGGGGAGCACTGGCCAAGCCTCTTTCTCCCTTTCAGGTGGCGATATGAGGGGCATGGAAGAGCTGTAATTCCCGGGCCCCTCCGTGCTAGCCGTGTTTCAGCCCTTCAGGGGGCACTTCTGTCCCAGGGGACCCCTTGCCCCGCCTTCCCTGTCCAGCTGCCCCGGGGCCAGGGCAGGCAGGGAGGCGCCGCGTGAGCGGTAATGTGCTCTCTGGAGGCGGAGGGTGCCGGAAGGGGCCTGGGCTTGACATCAGTTGGACTCGTGGAAGTTCTGCTCTGCAGTGTCAGCCGGTGGCCGGGGCAGGTGACTTAGCGCCCCCGATCCCAGCTTCCTCCTCCATAAAAACTGACGAAGGATTATCTTGGGGCGAAATGTGATAAGGCTGTGAGGCACCCAGCTCAGTGACTGGCCCACACAGACGGTGTCTGATGAATGTTTGTTGAAGGGATGAATGAATGAATGCGCGAATGAGTGAGTGAATGGAGGGATGCTCTGTGCTTGCTGTTGTCAGATGTCCTGGAAGGAAGGCGTGTGAGGTGGTGGGAGTGGAGGTGGGGCAGGGACAGAGGCCACACACACACACACACACTGTGTTGTGGAGAGGGGAGAAGTGTTCAGATAATCAGAATCGCTTGCAGGCACATAGCACTCAGCATGCGCCATACACTGTTCTCAGCACTGTACTCACATGAGGTAGGACCGTCAGTACCCCCATTTTATAGATGAAACTGAGCATAGAGAGGGTTCCTTGCCGTAGGTCACACAGCCAGTGAGGGATGGAGCTGAAGCAGGCAGCCTGGCTGCAGCGACCATGTGCCTACCTTCATTCCGTACCCAGCCCAACCTTGACCGTATCCTTCAAGCTGTGGAGGCTGCACCTTCCCCTCTGCCACCAGTGTGGTCCTCGCTGGCTGTAGGACACTGATTTCAAGGGCGGGGCCTCCTTTTCACTCAGAGGAGGGGGCAGCGTGAGAAAGCTGGGTGGCTTCCCGACAGGCCCCGCCCTCGAGGGCAGGCCAGGCCCCAGGTATGGGATAGGGCCCCAGCTCTGGCCACTGGACAGCTGAGTAGTCGGGTGCGAAGCTTTCAGGTTGGGGAGGCCACATGGGGATGGGTGGGGAGGAGGGAGGAGGCATCTTTGCCCAGAGCCCTGCCGGCCACAGTGAGCGAAGGGGCCGGTCACCATGTGAGGGGAGGGTCCTGCGGCCCAACCAGGGCCTGCGTACCCTCTTTGCACTCGGGCGGAGGCTTGGGTCTGACGGGGCCGTGAACTGGCCACGGGAGTCAGAAACCCCGGGCTCTGCCTGGTGGACTTGGGGAGCCCTCCCTGCTCTGGGCCTCAGGCAGCATCTACCTTAGAGTGAGTTGGGTGCCACTTGGGAGTTCGTGGGTGTGAAAGTGATGCCTACTCTTACGTGTCTTCTAGGAACCGCACAGATGTGTGAGGGAGCGAGGCCTAGACAGAGCATGGGCGTTGGGGGTGGCAGGTCCAGTTCAGAGTGGCCTTGGGTCAGTCATCTCAGCTCTCAAAGCCACTCAATAAAACAGTGAGATTGTGTGTTAGAACTGGCCGTGTGGGTGTGACTGCCTGCTCTCTGCTGAGCACTTCACACCCTCCACCTCATCAGGCTCACAACAGCCCTTTGGGGTGTGTACTGTGATCGGCCCATGTGAGAGGGGAAACTGAGGCTCCAAGAGGTACCCCCCTTGCCTGAGGTCTCCCAGCTAGAAAGTGGCAGAGCCAGGATTCACCCGGGGCAGCTCGTCCCAGAATTCACCTGCTTCAGGGCAGACGGCGCCTCTGCCAGACCTGACGGGGGCGGGGTGGGGGGGGCGTCGTCTGGAGATGAAATGAGACCCTGGAAGTGTTATCCTCTCCCAGCTAGAAAGTGGCAGAGCCAGGATTCACCCCGGGGCAGCTCGCCCCAGAATCCACCTGCTTCAGGGCAGATGGCGCCTCTGCCAGACCTGACGGTGGGGGGTTGTCTGGAGATGCAATGAGACCCTGGAAGGGTTATCCCGGGGCCTGGCCCTTAGTCGGTGCCGGGCAATGGAAGATGCTGCCCTTTCTAACAGCTGGTGCCTGGGGTCCTCCTGCTTCCAGGGCCTGGGGCTACGTTCCCACAGGGATCGGTGCGCCTCCAGACTTCTCCTCCTCACACCCCTGCTCCCCTCCCAACAGGATGTGGCCACAATGCAGTTCTGTGCCAACAAGCTGGACAAGAAAGATTTCTTTGGGAAGTCCGACCCGTTCCTGGTGTTCTACAGAAGCAACGAGGATGGAACGTGAGTCCCCAGCAACACGGCACCCCTTCGGGAGTCGGGGCGGGCGGGCTTGCGTCTACCTCCTCCCTGAGCTGCCTGGGCTTCTGCTCCAGAGGGGATGGAGGTCAGGGCTCCAGAGGGTGCCTGGCCACGTGGATGGGCTGGTGGGGCTGGGGCAGCCTCCAAACCAGCAGTGCCCCTCTGGGGGCCTCCGCAGCGGTGGGTGGTGATGTGTGGGAGGTGGGGGAATAGGTAAACGCAGGGCGAGGGCGAGAATAGCTCCCCTCTGATAGTCCCTTCCTTCTTCCACACCAATCAGTCCATACACCCAAGCCCAGTTCTCCACCCACAGCCCTCTGAACACCTCACTGCCACGTCTCCCCGTCTCCCCGACTGCTGCACCCCAGATGGCAAATCTGGGCCCTCTCCCCGCCCAGCCCCACATCTCACCGTAGGCTTCATTCAACACTCTACACGTCTTCCTCTCCTGTCCCTGATCCAGAAGCCACCACAACGGACAGGAACACACACACACACACACACACACACACACACACACACACACACGGGCAAATGTAGGTCAGCTATGCACAGAGGGACAGATTCTAGGTGGGCGTTCCGGGGGCCCAGGGCCTCCCCACTACCGGCTGCGTAACTAACCCCAGGCAAGTCATGCCCTCTCTGGGTCTGCTTTCTCGTCAGTAGAAGAAACCAGGTGGATGAGGTGGTCTCCGCGGCCCCTTTCAGCAGCACAGGGCAGGGAGGCCGAGGCCACTGAGGCTGGCATTCTGCGGAGCCAGGAAGCGGTGGGCCAGGGAGGTTAATTAGAAAAGCGCTGCTGGAGCAGGGCAGGGACGCGGGGTTTGAAGAAGAGGAAGAAAATGGGTCCGCGGGGAGGCCCCGGGAAGCACAGGCCAGAGGAAAGGCGTGTGCAGGGCGAGTGCCCGGAGCAGAGGCAGAAAGGCCTCGCCAAGTTCTCTTGGATCCTGAAATCCTTGGTGTGCCCGTGCGTGCCCGTGTGTGTGTGTGTGTGTGTGTGTGTGTGTGTGTTTCTTCCCTGAGTGAGGGGCAGTGACTAAGCTGAGAGACTCCTCCCCTCTCCTTCAACCTGAAGATTGGGCTCTGCAAGGCAAGAGATTCTGTCCTTCATTTTTCCACCGTGTGTGTGTGTGTGTGTGTGTGCGTGTGTGTGTGTGTGTCCGTGTGTGTGTGTGTGTGTTGGGGGCAGGGACGTGGCAGGGAGGAGCTGTGTTGCCGTTCAAGGGAAAATGGATTTTTAAATCTGAACGTACAAAACAAGGGAAATTAGGTGTGACATTTGCATAACAAAAGGATTCTTTGTCTCACCGGAGGACTCCCAGCAGAAGGTCTTTAAATAATTCTGTTGACTTTGACTTGACTTGGCGGAGGGCGGAGAAGGCGAGTGGTGTTCTAGGGCCACAGCATGTCCACCGGGTCCCCTGCAGAGAGGCCAGGCCGGCCACACGGGGCTGTCTCAGAGGCGGGCGGCCGACCAGGAGGAGGGAGGGATTTGGGTTGGGAGCAGGAAAGGGTGTGTTGCAGAGTGTTTTCCAAAGATTGTTCCCGCAGAGCAGATGTGTAGGATGGATGGGGAGGGGCGGGGAAGAGGAAGAGGCTCGTGACTGACACGTGAGCAGGTGCTCAGCACCCGGCAGGCTGTGCTGTGGAAGTGCCAGGGCGGCGGGGGCGGGAGGACGGGGCAAAAGGGCAGCCCGGGCACCTGTCAGCAAACCTGGGGGGGGTGGCCTGAAGTCACAGCCCCGCCCTGGCAGTGAGCTGCAGGGAGCGGGAGGGCTGAAGGTGGCAGCTGGTCAGATGGGGGAGGCCATGGGAGCTTAGTGGGGGTGAGTTTCAGCTGAAGCAGGGGCTGGGTGTGTCCCTGGGGACACCCAGGTGGCTGGAGAAACCCACCCCGAGGCCCCTGAGAGGTGGGCTAGCCTGCAAGCACCTGGTGAGAGCAGGGTGGTTCCTCCCCTTCCCCCCTCCTCCTGTTTGAGGAGGGGAGAGTGGAAGGCTTGGGAGACACCCCATTAGGAGGGTGGGCGGAAGGTCAGTGAGGGGCCCAGGGAGGGAGATGTCACACCTGCCACCCCAGGAGGGACAGGGACGGAGGCATCCACCGAGCGCCCTGTGTTCCCGGCCCTGTGCCTGCCGTCTTACTCATCCCATCACTCGTCTGGGAGCAAGAATGTGACCAGGAGAATGGCCCCCCTGCCAGGCTGCCTTCGCCGGCCTGGCGCTGCCTGTGGTCAGTAACCCACCCCGAGGCCCCTGAGAGGTGGGCTAGTCTGCAGGCACCTGTGAAGATGCTGAACTGGTGAGAGCTGGGTGGTTCCTCCCCTTCCCCCCTCCTCCCGTTTGAGGAGGGGAGATTGGAAGGCTTGGGAGACACCCTGTTAGGAGGGTGGGCAGAAGGTCAGTGAGGGGCCCAGGGAGTGAGATGTCACACCTGCCACCCCAGGAGGGACAGGGAAGGAGGCATCCACCGAGCGCCCTGTGTTCTGGTCCCTGTGCCTGCCATCTTACTCATCCCATCACTCGTCTGGGAGCAAGAATGTGACCAGGAGAATGGCCCCCCTGCCAGGCTGCCTTCGCCGGCCTGGCGCTGCCTGTGGTCAGCTGTGTGACTTTAGGCAAGTCCAACCCACTGGGACTTTCCGGGAGAAGGACAAGTGCTGTCTCTCGCTGTCCAGTATGGTTGCCATCAGGCACCTGGAGCTGTTGAGCGCTTGAAGTGGTCCTGATGCGATGGCAGAACTGAGTTTCAGATTTCATTTCATTTTAGTTCATTGAATGGAAGTGGTCACATGCGCTGTGGTCGCCATTCTGGGCAGTGCAGCTCTAACTCGGTGTCTCCACGGGGCGGATCCTAGCAGCACGCAGGGCTGCTGTGAGGATTGGTGAGTTAACACGTGTGATTAGAGCAGGGCCCGGCAGCTCCTGTCCTGTCCCCCTGTTACAATGAGAGGGGAGCTCAGAGAGGGAGAGTGCACAGCCTGGGGCTGCACAGCTGGTGGCAGTGGCCCTGGGACTGTCTGCCCCACCACCCACTGAGCAGAAAATGAACTGAGCCGTGACATGACTGCAGGGACCGCAGGGAGTCGAGGGGCCTGTGGATTCGGTGGGGATAGGGGATTCGGGCAAGAGTCTGAAGCAGAAAGCAGACTGCACAGGGCTCGCGAAGAACCAGCTGGGAGGGAATCAGACTGACAGCTCAGCGCCCGGTCTGGAAGTTTGTCTGGCCAGGGAGGCGACCGGGGAGGCAGTGGCTCCAAAGGACGGGAGGCTGGAGGGTCCACGCAGGCTAGTGCAATCAGGGCTTCTGCACAGCAAACCTCCCTCCCTTCACGCCCATTATGCTCCTGCCCCTCCCTCCTGCCTTCCCCCCAACCCCCACCCAGCCTCCTCTTCCTGCTGCCCCAGCCAGGGCAGCTGTGGCCCCTCCTTCCTCCGTGCCATTCCTGTCGTCAGCAGCAGCTCTGGGTGTGTGGGGAGGTCTCCCACGTGTATCTCTACACTCCACGGGTGGGCGCGAGGAGCGGAGAAGAGAAACACTGAGCCTTGGTGACAGAAATGACATTTTGACTTGAAAACTGCCAGAGAAGAAATGGCACGGGCTGTGTGGGCACGGGCGGGGCCCAGGCACCTTCCTGAGAGGCCTTTCCAGCTGGGACGGATGCTGGGAAGTCTC